AGGACTTTAATGATATTTTAATGCATGCTCTCTGCTCCCATAACTTGCTGCATTTTTAGTAGCAAAATTATGTTTTATTACGTTGAATTTTTATTGCCTTCTGAAATGGCACTTTATAAATATTTAAAAAGGAAAACTATTCTCTATTCTTCTGGGACTGTGCTCATATGATTCTATGACAAAAGTGTCAGCATACACAAGTCTCATGTAAACTCAAACAAACAAAAACCCAGCATAGAATTGGGGAAAAGAACTGCAGACCCCATTCTTAGCTGAAGAAATATTGGCAACTGATTACTGATGTGTGAGGAAGAGCAGATCTTCCTAAAATAAGGGACTCTAGGTACGATGACTAGACCTGAGTGGATGGACTTGCACTGGGGAACGTCTGGGGACACTGACTTGATGTAGTGGGCCTTAACATGGATGGCAGAGTATATAGATTCCAGTGTGTGTAGGTGTGGGGGGTGGCTGTCGGAGAGTGCTGGTAGGGACGGGGGTATAAAGATGATTAAGATTGAAATATTTTGTATAATATACATAAAATTTCAATAAAAACAAATTAAAAATATTTGTTCAAAATACATATACCAACCTAAGTTTACTATAACTTGGTATCTAACAATATCAGGTGTCCATTGGTGCAAGTTCTTTCTCTGGAATCTAGTCAGGTTGACTCTAGTCTAGAGTCAATCCCTCAAAAAAGATCTACTTCTCCTCACCCTACAGAAATAATTTGCCAGTAGTTCCTTGTCTAGGTTTCGAATCCATTGCCCATTTCCCCTGATATCCACAATTTTTTTAACAGCCACACCATTTGTGATTTTAAAGGTGACTACATAACTTCTAATACAGATGCTTATGTGTACTGAGACCATAGTGTGGAATTTCCTTGTGTGGCCAAGCCTGTTTACAGAAGCAGATCCTGTGGCCAAGGGTTGAGATATTCCTGATAATGGAATACATTGCAGACACCCTAGCAACCAGAACAACTACAAAGAGGTGTTCCACAAGATCATTGTGGCATTTGTTTCTTAAGATGGACTTGTGGTCTTTTTGATCTACATTAAAACTCTTAAAAATCATTTACAGTATAGTTTCCTGTTATGGAAGTCATTACAACATAACTATTGTGTTTAAGTTCATGCTTTTCAAAATATTAAATGCACTGTAAGAAACACAAAAGACACGGTTATATATTTTTCCTCTTTTGTTTGTCTTTAATTATTCATGTGTATTTCCATTTGTCATTAGTTACAGTCCAGGGGTTAGAATGACAGAGGAAATCTCTGTGTTACTTACTTTCTGTTGCTGTGATAAAATACCATGACCAATGCAGCTTATACAGGTAAGAGTTTATTAGGGCTTATGCTACCCAAAGTATGCCCATTATAGTTGGGAGGCATAGGCAACAGAGGCAGCCAGAGCAGTAGGATGAGCTCTTGCATCTTCAAGCACACACAGGAAGTAGAGAGAGGCTGAAATGAGGTAGACTGAGGCTATGAACTTTCAGATATATACTTCCTCCAACAAGTTCTCATCTCCTAAACCTCCATATACTGCTACAAACTAGGGTCAACTATTCAAAACCATGAGCCTTCAGGGGACATTACTCATTAAAATTACCACACTCCTATCTCTGCCCTTCCCCATCCCCTATAGACTTGTGATGATATCATAAGACAAAATGCTTTAAGTCAAAATTTTAAGTACCCCATAGTATATCTCAGTCTCTATACTATGGAGAGGGGGCAGAGTCTAAATATGATCAACATGTATTGCAAAATCAATTTTTTAAAGAAAAGCTTAAGGGAAATGATTGAATTGAGAAGTGTCTGAGACGTTACAATGGCCCTTCACTATTTTTTATTAAAAATAATACAAACAAAACTGACTAAATTTTCTGGGCTATAATGTAACATTTAGAGTCATGAACACATGCTACCCCTACCATGAGTCAGAGATATGTCCCATCCTTTGAGCTAGAGCTATGGTTCCCTTCCATAAGCCACAGTTGAGGTTCTCTACTGGGAATCTGGGGCTATGGTCCCCTCCCATCAACCTGGAGCTGTGGTCCCCTCCCACGATCCAGAGCTGTAGTTTCTCTACTGAGATGGAGCCATAGTATCCTCCTATGACCCTTAAACTGTCCTTCTCTCCCATGGGCCTGGGGCTATGGTCCCCTCTCCTGATCTGAAGCTGTGGGCCAGATTTATGGTACCCTCCCACAAGCTGGAAATGTGATCCCATCTTGGGAGTTGGAACTGTTGTCCCCTCCCATGAGCTGCAAAGTGATCCCCTACCATGAGCCTGGAGCTTTGGACACCACTGTGAGCCACAGTGTCACATTCCTCTTATGGTAGGCTTCAGAACAGTTTTAGTCTTCTCTGAATGGTTGCATTCCACACAATTACCTGGATCTTAGAGCATGCACAGAAGTGGCTTTGCCTTTGTTTTAGGCTTGTGCTGGTGACAGGGAGGTCTCTGTCATTTGCATATTCTAATCTCAGGAAGACTGATTCTCTAGAATGGATTTCCTAACTCCCCTGAGGGTCAGCTGTGCTCTCAACTCTACACATGGTCCTGGGCCTCCAGGCTTTCATGTTGGACCTCTCCCATTTCCAGGCACCAAGAGGCTTTACATATTCCTATTTCTTTTCTACTGCCCTAGTGCACCTTCACGTGTGCTCAACAGAAAATCCAAAACACCTAATTAATCTTCAAGAGATAAAAATCACAGTCTGGAAAGGTAAAAGAAAGTGCTGTAGTAAGTAAACTGAAATAATGAAGAGATTTAATTCTCAAACTAAAAACATGTCATTGTATTTTAGATTTTAAAATTTCAGTTCAATATGTCTACCATAATTTTAAGCTTTACAGACAAAACTGTACTACCAAGCTACAAAAATACCGCTTTATTTATCACTGTCCCTCTAACATGAATTTGTCTTTCACTCTCTCAACCAATTCTCCACTTAAACAAAGTTTTTCAATGTAATGCTGTTATTTTTTAAAAACAATGCTGAGCCAGGTGTGGTGGCATATGCCTGTAGTCCCAGCACTTGGGAGGCAGAGGCAAGAGGATCTCTGTAAGTTCAAGGCCAGCCTGGTTTACATAGTGAGTTCCAGGATAGCTGGGGCTACAGGGAGACCTGTCTCGGAAAGACCAAATAAAAAAAAAAAAAAAAAAAACCAAAAGCAATGCTAATTTAAAAAATAGTCATGAATACATCATATAAACATTTATCATATAAGTTAGCATATAAATATTCATCACCATATAAATATTAATCATATAAGTTAGCATATTCATATTCATCACCTCAAATATGTAGTATTTGTGGTTCAATATTCAAACTCCTCCTGCTAATTATTGTAAAATATATACTGCATTATTATTGACTATATTACACATACCACATAGAAATCCCAACAAATTATTGTTTTTACAAGATGTAAACAACCCATAGGAAAATAATATGAATATAAAATAAATAATTTTAATAATATGTCCATCCAACATCTGAATAAATGTTATAAAAAAAGAAGACATTCAAATTATCAAGTGGGAGTCAGTAGGAGTTGGAGAGAGATAATGTGGTATTGCCAAACTAATGAGACACTTCACTTTTGGAGTGGTTTAATGAAGAATGTGTCCAAACTTGTTTTGAGGTATTCTGATTTTTCTCAGAACTGAACTCTATTCTCTTCATCTATTCTGTTGTAGTCTATCCTACCCAACTCTATTCTACTCTACTCTGCATAACAAAGGGCTCTGCTCTTATTTATTGAATAACACAGGAAACATGGTATAAGAAAGCCATGAAAAATCTTTGATAATAGTTTTACAAAGGGAGCAATTTTCTGATCCTACAGGCTCAGAGCAGCACAGAAAGCTACATACAAACATCATCAACCTATGCCCCCAGTTGCTTGCAACTTTTTTAGGAGACATTGTTGGTAATGATTTCAACTTCCTCATTATCATACCACGGGCAAGTGTACATTGTTCTGATTCAGGGACATAACTAAGTCACAGGCAGGGAGCATGGTATCAGATTAAAGCTATGAATTCAGCTTAGCTTGTAAGAGTTATATCAGGATTCCAAATCATTATAAGACTGATCACATTCCTTTTCCTTGAAGGAATACATAGTTCTAAATATTCTCAAAAAAAAAAAGGAGCAACGTGGTTTACAAGATTATATAAAAATTCAATTGGTAAAGTGTTGTTTCAAAGAGTCTTTCCAACTAAAGACATCCCCAATGGATAACGGAGGGTAATGGGGATGAATATGATCAAAATACATGCTAAACACGAGTTCAACATCACCAACCATTGAGAAAATCACGTCAGTCTGTGTGAGCTCTTCATCTTCACATCTTGAACTTACTTTTCTCTGAAGATTTGCCTTCCTGCCACCTCAGGATTTATAACTGTCAGCTTCTGAAAATAGAATTCTTTCTTCTTATAACTTTGCCATTGTTTCTGTACTGATTATTTAGACCTGAAACTAAAAGCCTCCATTTCTAAATAACTTGCCTTCTTTATGTTACAGATTTGGAGACTTTCCTAGAAATTAGGATGTCATGATTTTGACTTTAAATTTTTGAATTTATTACCATTATTTATAATTATATTTAACTAACATTTCTAATTTCTAGAAAAATTTAGGGTTAGTATAAAATTACTTGACCACAATAAAAATCACCTACATGTATAAAAGATCCACATTACTCAATAGTTCAATAACCAAAAATGGCATTTTAACACAATATTGAAAAATTTAGAATTTCTCCAAAACAGAGTGCCAGGCATAGTAAAGAAAAAATAGCATAGAAACAACATTTGAGAAACCAAATGTACGGATAAGTTCTGATATAGCAATACATTTATTAATAGTTTAGGTCCTTGAGACACTGCTATAGTGTAGTATATAGTTTTAATGAAAAAAATTATATGTATGGGTAAATAAAAGTTGGTTTCAGTGTATACACATTCATTTAAAGAAAATTTTATTTTTCAGTTTTTCGAGAGCATCTTTCACATCTTTGTTCCTCAGGCTATAAATCAAAGGGTTCAGCATGGGAATCACAAGAGTGTAAAACAGTGAGGTTATTTTGTCTTGGTCTAGGGAGTATGCAGAACTTGGACGAAAATACATGAAGAGTAGAGTACCTTGGAAAATGGAAACTGCAGCTAAATGAGAGGCACAGGTAGAGAAGGCTTTGAACCTCCCCTCAGCTGAGCGGATCTTTAAGACTGATAAGATGATGTAACAGTAGGAGACAAGGACTCCTGAGATGGTGCTCAGTTCGATGAAACCAAAAATGATGAACATTACTAACTCATTGACCTGTATATCTGAGCAAGATAACAACAGAATAGGAGGGATATCACAGAAGAAATGATTAATCTCATTAGACCCACAGAAGCATAGCCCAAAGGTTATTATAGTATGTGTCACAGTATCCACCATCGCTACCAGGTAAACTCCAGCCAGGAGTTGATAGCACACCTTACTGGACATGTCCACTGCATACAGTAAGGGGTTGCTGATGGCCTTGTACCGATCAAAGGCCATCACAGCCAGCAACATGCACTCTGCATCTACAAAGATACAGGTGAAGAAAAACTGCAGAGCACAACCAACAAAAGGAATGGATTTGTTTTTGGCCAGAAGGTCCACCAGCATCTTGGGTCCAACTGCAGTGGAGTAGCAGAGGTCTGAGAAGGAGAGGTGGCTGAGGAAGAAGTACATGGGTGTGTGGAGGTGTGGATCTACTCTAATTAAAGCAATCATTCCAAGATTTGCCAGAAGATTGATGAGATAAATGAGAAGCAATCCAGTGAACAGAAGCATTTTCATGTCAGAGTTGTTGGTAATTCCCAAGAGAAGGAATTCAGTGAACGAAGAGCAGTTTCCTCCACCCATTCTTCTTTATTCTTGTTTAAATTCACAAAAGTAGTCAAAACAATGATAAATTAGCACAGAAAATTATATTCAATAGCCACACTGTAATTTCATTATGTAGAAAATACTCTAAATATTTTATAAATAGTCCAAACACATAGCAACCTTATAGAGGCTGAGAGTGGAAAGACAGTGTCTCAGAGGGATGGAACTCTAAATGGGCCCAATGGATGGACTGACAATGAAGGATATTTGAAGCCACAAATCAGACTCTGTTGGTCATATTTTACACATACACACAGACACACAGACCATTTATAAATATGTTATGTTTTTTTTTATATGGCAGGGCACAGTGGGGGAAGGTGAGGATATGAGAGATAATCTAAATAGCATCCAACTTCCAACTATATTGTATGAAAAATAAATCAAACCAAAAGAAAATTTTTTAAATTTGTCATGGTTATTAGACATGGTGGGCTGTAATCCCGGTATTTGTGAGACGGATACAGGAGGATCAACTGTTCAAGTCTGTCCTTGAGTATGTATCAAGCTATACGCTAACCTGGAGCATGTGATACTCTGTCTCAGAAAACAAAAATGAAAAACAAAAAGAAATTAATTTGTGGTAGTCTTTGAATCTAGTGAACACACCAACATGTACAGCTTCAATGGGAAAATTGTATGTTATTCAGGTCCTATGGTACTAAAGCTGTTTGTAGCAACTCAAGTGGTGATGGGAAAAGCAATTCAACAAAAACACTTTTCAAAATTTTCTTTTTCAAATTATTTTATTATTCAAAATCTTTTGTTATGTGACAATGATAAGCTGATTCTATTTATTTCATTCCAATTAATAAATAAGTCCTGAGACATAGGACTTTTCTTCCTCATTCAAAGGCAGTAGAACTGAGTATCCTGAAGTTTGGTTTGAAGTCAGAATTTGAAGGTAACACCTAATTTGCATGTAAAATTCAAAACATGAAAGAATAAATATATCATGTATTTGAACAAATGGGTCATATTTATATTAATCAAGAAACATACCTTAATCTCTGCCCATAATATTGAAAAGAAATACTTGAAAATTGGTATGATATTGTTTTGATTTTCTTTTATTTTTGCTAAATACATTTGATTAAACTACCCTGTCACTTACCATCACTAGTTTGCCAGGAATAAGATAACTTCATTGCAAATCCCACTATGCCCCAAATATTATCTACTTGTAAATGAAAGCAGGGTAAAGAAGTGGAATGAGAAAGCTGTTATCATACCTGTGTATCACTGTTTGTACACTGATTCTTCAGAAATCTGAAAATTCTTGCAAACAGTGAAGGTTTAGGAGGTTTACTTTCTTCTATTTCTTGTGTTTATCTTTGCTTTTGTGGACGAATGTCAGAGTATCTGTTCATGTGTGTTCACAAATGAATTCTGGAATGTGAATAGTCATCTGCTCTTGTAGACTTAATTATTTTGATTTTAGTTCTTATATACTTGGATTTACTTAGATTTGTGTTTTTAATGCTTTATTTTATTATTTGAATAAAATTACATTAAAAAATTAAATATACCATACCATTTACATGGTGATTTTAAAAAGAATTTAGATTGCAATATAAATAGTTAGAACCTTCAAAAAGCTACACAACTGGGTAGTTGCTATTCACACAGATATAGTTGGAAAATACACTGGACATTAGATTTCAGATTATGTTTAACTGAGCAACAAAGCATTTTATTCATATTTACTCATTCCTCAGGAACTGGCTCCACATTTTTCCCAAAGAAAATAGTTTTCTTGTATGCTTTAAAGGTAACCATTTAGAAACCTACCTTAAATGAAAGATTTCTTTGTTCTTTTCTCTGGCACCTGAATACAAAAATATACAGATCACATGTATCTCATGTAGGAAGTGTTGTCTTTTAAGCGTATTAGAGTGCACATTCACTTCTCTGTCATATAAATGAGATGAGCTGAATTTCACTTCTCTGTCATATAAATGAGATGAGCTGAATTTCCCTCCCAGCTTTTTCCCCCTCTAAGGAATACTGCAATCATTTCAGTGAAGCCTGAACTTTTAACTCTGTACTGTTTACCAGAGTTTCTGTATCAGCTTTGTAGAATCTGCTAAAATCAGACAGTGAAACTAAAATGCATCCTTTTCTAATTATGTCCATGCCTTATCCATTCTTCTTCCCCTCATGAAAAAACTTCATCTCTCATGAGCTTGTATGTTACTATTTCCATTTAATGCCTTCTGAGTGCTCTCCCCCAACTCCAGATGGAGTAGCCAAGAACTAATGTTAAATATTTTCTGGTTCATAGGCTTGTGAATATTCAATGAAAATTAAGCATAAACACATCCTGTGGGATACAGTGATGGTAGTTGCTTACTGTTTATATGAATAATGCATTCAGGACATAGCCAGTTACTATTCATCTCCTAAATAATCTATTCAGAGTCTTATTAAAATAGTATTTAGAAAAGTAGGATGTATCAGAAATGTCCTATTTTCAGGATCTACAAAATATACTCTGTAATTACCAATGTAATATACATCTCTCATTTCTTGTTTAATATTTTTACATCTAATTTACCTTAATGCATAGAACAAAATACTGCATTTATATTTCCATTACTTAAAAATGTTTCTATCATCTCATGAATAAATTCAATTTATTACAACCTCTTCCTTTAACTATAGAGTTTTGAGGATGAAGGATGGGAATTTAAAAATGGATTATGGTGTATATCTTATCAAAGGGGATCTTCTTTTATGTAGCATTTAACTTATTTAAATATGTGTCATCATACATCTTAAATATTAACATCTGTTTTCATCTTTAACAATATGATGTTACCCAATGAAAATATGAGATCTAGAAATAATAAGAAAACTTCTGGAATCCTAAAAAAATTAATTTTATTTGAATATAGAGTAAATTAGCTAAATAGATTTCAAAATAAATTGTGACAAATTGTGATGAAAAATGCAAAATAATCCACCAAATATAAAATAAAACATAAAACATAAAGCAAGCTGCCCTTTAGGAAAAAAATATCCTTCACTATTATTATGATACATTTTTTAAATCTCATGTTATACTCCACCAAATTGTGATCTACAGTGTTTTATTGATCTAATAAAATGGAGGCATTATACACATCCTGTCTCTGTATCTGGGCAATATTTCACCCCTGAATGTGACAAAAGGTAACAGAGTGTCAGGATGCCAATTTGAGCTGCAACATACTACATTTTTTTACCTGAATACTTCAGCGTCACTATTCTAGCTTCATAATGATGTGCTACATCACACAAATAGAGGAAGCACACTAAAATACATAAAATTACCCTGAGGCTGTGCAGCATTGATCTTATGGTGGATACTCCTGCATAGCCCATGCTATGATTGACATTTAATAAGATGCGATTTATTTCTACATGTACACATTTATATTTGGTTACTGATACTTCACATTCTAATTCACAATAGTGCATTTCTTTACACTTTATTTACAATTAATTTACATCTAATACAATATTTTTTCCAATAAATGGAAATATGTATGTCAAAAATAGCATAACACCTGGGTCCTAGTGTGCTTTCTATTGCTGAGACAAAACACTCTGACCAAAACCAACTTGGGGAGAGTTTGTTCGCCTTATTCTTTTCACAGACCATAACTGAGGAAAGTCAAGGCAGGACTTAATGAGGCAGGAACCTGGAGGTGGGAGCGGAAGTACAGGCCACCAGGGAAGAGCACTTTGCACTGGCTTGCTCCCCTGATTGCTCAATGACTTCTCTTATACAATCAGGCCTACCTGGACAGGGATGCCACCACCCAAAGTGGGCTGGGTTCTTCTACATCACTGAGCAATCAAGAAAATGCCCTACAGACATGACCATAGGCTAGTCAGAGGGAGGTCATTCTTCAGTTGAGGTCAGAAGAGGGCATCGGAATCCCCTGAAACTGGAGTTATGGATGGTTGTCAGCCATCTTGTGGGTGCTGGGAATAGAGCCCAGGTCCTCTGCAAAGAGCATCCAGTGCTCTTAGCTGGTGAGCCATCTCTCCATCACCCCCAAATGACTTTTTAAAACATCCCTAATGTTAGTTACCTGTCCTTCCACCCCGTCCCCTGCTTTACCCTGCTATTTTACCCTGGTATCCCTTTGCACACTTAAATCCTACTCCCTCACATTATTTTCCATTATCCAATATTCCACTTTATGTACGTGTTCTATCATCTCTCTCCCTCAAAATATCCCCCTGACTGGGGGCTGAGCTCTACTTTCCTGGGTTATACAAGTTAACTTAAAGATTTGAAGCTAGCATTCAAATATAAGAGAAAGCATGAGGGATTTTTCGTTCTTGGTCTCGGTTAACTCAGTGTGCTCTTCTCCAGTTCCACATACACAGGCACCATATTTTCCTTACCTATTCATTAGTAGATGGACTAGTACAACTATTATCCCTCATCAGAAAACATTCTTTTTTGTGGAGGAGAGAGATTAATAAAAGACCCACGTTTGGTCAAAGTACAGAAAGTAAGTGACTGTAAAATGTTCAGCTACAAAAAGAACAGCTGTTTCATGCTATCTACCCCCTAAGCTGTGGCAGCATTGTGAAAGAGGGTACCGAAATACTCTAAGGTCCAAAGGACAGGAAGGGCTCCTTCGAGTAGATCATTTTGGACATGACAGGGTCACTGCACTCAAGAACTCACGAGTTTTGCCAACCTGCCTGTGCTGGTTACCTTTGGTGTCAACTTGACACACCCGGGTGGAGGGAGCCATAATTGGGGAATTTCCTCTTTTGGACTGGCCTGTGGCCATGTCTGAGGGGCATCTTCTTGATGAGTGATGTGGGAGGGCCCAACCCACTGTGGGTGGTGCCACCCCGGGCAGGTGGGCCTGTGTTACATAAGAAAACAGGCTGAACAGGGGCCAGGGGGTCAAGCCAGCAAGCAGCGTTCCTCCATGGCCTGTGCTCCAGATCCTGCTTCCAGGTTCCTGCTCCGAGTTCCTACC